GGATGAGCTTCTAATTAGTTTTAAGTTTATGGCTCTTTTTTTGAAAAGCCATACATACAATGTAATTGCTATGGCCTTGGGACTACTTTCTATTGCCAAAAAAACCCGTTTGTGTGTGTGTATGTGTGTGTGTGTGTGTGTGTGTGTGTGTGTGTGTGTGTCATTGTAAGTTCAGCCCCTTGGCATATATCTTAAATGTGGCATAAAAGAGAGGCTTGTCTATGTTAAAAATTCCACTATATGTAAAAATGGCTGTAAAAACATCTCTCAAACTTTGAAATTCGTATTTCTGAAATACTAGAGACGTATGTTTTTAAATATCCTTAACTATGTATAGTTGCTGATAATTCTAATGAAAACTAATCAAATATTTCCAAAATTTCTCTGGCATGATGGATAAAATATTATTGAATTTTAAGTAATGAACACCTGACAAATGACTGTCCAAAATGAAAGAGTATAAGTCATTGCTTTTTAGAGGTGAGCAAATTTGGAAATTGGCACTCAGTAAATGTCCCACAAATATGCAACAGTGCTCTTCAATCCCACATCCCATTCCTTCACACGATGGCTTCAATGCTCCGTCCCACTCACCATTGTAGTTTCTGCTACTGACCCAAAGCTGTTGATAAATATGTTGCAGGTAACATTTACAGGAGGCCCTGCAAGTTGAACAATAGAAAATTTGACAGTTTGTGTTCATGGCATAATCGAGTCACGTTTTTTTCTTGCCAGAGGCACTGCAGCACTTACCATGGTGGTTTCTGTGACTGATCCAAAACTGTTGATAAAAATATTGCAAGTAACGTTTACTGGAGGACCTGCAGAATGCAATAAGAATATTGCAATAGAAATTGAAGCAAAAATACAGCTCCATCAACATCTGTGCTAATAGCTAGAGATGTGAATAAAATTAAGATGATGGTGAGATTGCAAAAAAAAATAAAAATTTTGCCTAGATGTGCATGATGATAACATTCTCCTTTGCATTGTGGATCATGAGAGTTAAGCAATGGCAACTTACTCTGAAGAGTTTTGAGTTTGGAAAATATAAGCTGAAGATTAATTAGCTGAATTCATTGCCATAAGTCGCTATCAAAATAGCCTTTTGGTAGTGGCTTTCTTTGACCTTAGGGTAATCAACATTGTAGACAGATATCAACACTGGTTGCCCCATGGTGATGAAATAGCCTGGGTCATGAGGTCAAAATGGAGCTGAATTTTGGATTATGAATGGGTCAGTAACATCCACCTCCTTTTGTATGACACTTTTTAAAACAGTGAGTTACTATGATTCTCTTGACACCTCTGAATTACCCTACTCATTCTTTATATCCTCTGTCCCCCAATGAAAATGACATACAGATACAAAAACAAAGGAAGATAACTTATTTTAAGACATAAACACAAACAGAAACGTCACTTAATGTCCATATTGTTGCCTTGGTAAATATAGTGTAAAGAAAGGGTTATTGCATCCCAGATGTGCTTTGAACAAACTAAGAATCCACTTCTCTCTCCAGAGACTCAGGGACTAGCCTGACTCCAGCTCCCTTTTCCTCTTGCCTTTAGTCAATAGATAAATCACTGTCTGATGATTCCCTGCATCATATTTTGCTGGGGAGTATGTTTATTGCCTTTGTGGAGTTTTCATCTAATTCTTTCTGAGGTAAGAAAATACTGTGATGAATTATCTATTCACTTGCTGCTTTTCCCCATAGAAACTTGTCTCTCTTCACTTGAAAAAGGCTCAGTAGCCCAGTGCAAGCAACACCCTAGTTGGCTCTGTACCCAACAAACTGGTAGGATCTGAATGAAGAGGAGTCTGGCTTGAGATCTTCCTCAAAGGCTGGTAGTAAAAACACAAGTTGTGGCCTCACTTGACCATGTTTTTAAACTTTACTAGTCCATGTGGGGTTCTCAAAATGAAGAAAGGAAATTTGGGGTAAAACAGCTAATATAAGTCCCCAGGCAAGGTCTTTTGGTAACAGAAGGAGCAAAGAATTTTGGTAAAAGAGATGCATTGTCTTTCTTTGAAACATAACTAATTTTTTGGTTTTTAATGAAAAATTAATTGTGTTTATTTTTTAAAAAAATATTTGCAGGCACAGAATCACAGGTACCACCATATTACCAAAATAATTTTCAGCCATCCCCGCCCCTCTTATGTCAGCATCTGCCAAGATGAGTTCTTCTCCATGGTCAATTCCTACTCTGCTTGATTTTGGTTTTCTTTTTTTGATTATTCAAAACAAAAC